CACTACATTCACATATACAATCAGCTGAGACAAAAAACTCTTTGACTCACACTTATGGAAGCATTTGTTGTTCTTGTCTGAATGAAATTAATGCTATTTGGAACATTACTATAGCAGGAATTTTTGTTCAGTAATATCTAATGACTTGAACTAAAAAAATATACAAGTGTCCTAGAAGGAAATTCCTGGAACTTCAATATAATAGAATCACATAGAGGACAGAGTAAACTTTTTAAAACCTCAATATCCAGTGTTTTTTACTGTACTCAAACTAAAAATGCTAAAGGTTGAAATATATCAGAATATCTCAATTCAATCAATATAATTAAATCTTCCTTACTTTGGGTAAAAAAATTAACATTCTATAAACCTGGTGGTTTTTCACCAACCTTCACATATGCAACATTTTTTACTTTTTTTGCCCTTTCTGCCAAACTTAAGTGTTTCAAACAACCATAACATAAGCCCTATCTACTTTATCAAAATGTTTTAGATGAGATTTAGCAATACATAAATCTCATGATGAGCTGGGCATGGTGGCTCATGTCTGTAACACCAACACTTCGTGAGGCTGAGACAGGCAGGTCACTTGAGCTCAAGAGTTCAAGGCCAGCCTGGTTAACATGGCAAAACCCCATCTCTACTAAAAAAAAAAAACACAAAAATTAGCCAGGCATGGTGGTGAATGCCTACAATCTTGGCAACTCGGGAGGCTGAGGCACAAGAATTGTTTGAGCTTGGCAGGAAGAGGATGCAGTGAGCCAAGATTGCACCACTGCACTCCAGCCTGGGTAACAGAGTTAAGACTCCAACTCAAAAAAAAAAAAAAAAAAAAAAAAAAAAAGCTGAAGATTAACTGATATACAGGTCTTAACATTTATAACTATGATGACTTTTTTGTCAGCCTATTTAACCACCAACAGCTTCAGGAAGAATTACCTTCATATTTAGGCAAAACAATAACAATGATTTATTTTTGTGTAAAGAATAAGAACTGAATATTTCTGGCTTTTGTTTTGTTGGGGCATATAACTTAACACCATTCTTCCTTACTGACTAATGTCTTCTTTATTATACATAAAAGCCATAAAAATTCCTTTTGAGTTTATTTCTGAATTCTCACATCTCTATCTTTGATCTATACGCCTATTTATATACACTGTACCAAACTATTTTAATTAATGAAGCATTATAAAGCATTTGATACATGGTAGACCTCTGCTTCTCATTCCTTTTCTTTTTTAGAATTCTCATGGTTATTCTTACATGCTGTTTCTCCATGAAAACTATGGAATATGTGTGCCTAGATTTTTTTAAATATTATTGGTATTTTTACTGTGATCACACATTTTTAGATTAATTTAGAGAAAACTGATCTCATTATAATGCTGAGTCTTTCCATCCAATAATAGGATATAGTACTTAATTATGTCTGAGTACACAATTCTTTTTCTTTTTGTTTTTTGAGACAGAGTCTCACTCTGTTACTCGGGCTGGAGTGCAGTGGCACAATCTCGTCTCACTGCAACCTCCACCTCCTGGGTTCAAGAGATTCTCCTGCCTCAGTTTCCTGAGTAGCTGGGATTACAGGCACCCACTACGTCCAGCTAATTTTTTGTATTTTTAGTACAGACACAGTTTCACCATGTTGGCCAAACTGGTCTCAAACTCCTGACCTCATGATTCACCCACCTTGGCCTCCCAAAGAGTTGGGATTACAGGTGTGAGCCACTGCACCCGACCCACAATTCTTTAAGTATGAAATCATTTTGAATGAATATCTATCAAGCAAGGAATGCTTGCAAAATTATTTTATCTACCAAACTAAGAGTAAATATCAAGAGGTGTTCACAGACACCAACACCTTCTCCTTTAAGAACCAACTACAGTTGATGAAAGACACATGTATTTTTATTAGCATATCATGAAACAAACATTTAACTTTCTTCAAAAGGTTACAAACTATGTTTGTCAACGTAGCTAGACTGAGGAAATACCTAACGTGTGCTACTTGCAGGGAGAGAGGGAAGAAGGCATGAAAATTGTATAAGAACAAATCGCTACCCTTAAATGGCTTTCAATTAAAGTGGAGATACAAGAAGAGAAATAGGAATATGACCACCTTCCTCAATTCCCTTGTTTAAATTTCTTCCCCAACAACCCCATTTTGAGAGGCAAAAACAAACCAAATAAGAAAATTATGGCTAACTCCTTTGGGAAGGTCAACATCTCATGACAATGATCAGTCTCTAAAATTACAGAGAATGAAATGTCTACAAAGTCATAATTTGTAAACCAATAAGGTATCCAGAAATAAAATCTACAAGATTGCTTGTAGCATTAGTCAATGGTAGAAACAAAACTTAATGGTTGCTGACTTAGAAAATGAACCAACTCCCAAGGTAATGCACATTTGCCAGCATAATGCAGAAATACAAACTTGTAACTTTACATAACCCAAACATTCCCTCAGTATGGTGTATAGTCTTAATGACTTCTATGAATATAAATTCAGCATTTATATTATGATTTAAGTTTCAGTAATAGTTGAAAAGATCAGAGATAAATACACTATTGAATCTGAAAGGTAGAAAAATAGTGTATAGAATTATACTAAATCCCTCCATATTACATTCTGAAGTAAAAATGTAATAAAATTTCAAATGATGTTATATGGAGTATTGATATTCTACCATAAAGAATAATTTTGGAATAGTTATACAATATATGCTCAGTCCTGATCCATGACCTCTCCAGTAAAAGCATTTGGGAAACTGGGAATATGCAGACAGCAGTTACTTTTTGCAGATATCATGTAGATTTCTAAGCTATATAATCAATGTAGACAGTGTTGAGCAAAACAACATATTTTATTGCCCCCTTTGCCTTTAAGTCTTCAAGTAAATCCTAGTCTAACCCTCAAAACTGATTGCTATAATTTGGATATTTGACTCTCCAAACCTCATGTTTAAATTTGTCCCCCAGTGTTGGAGGTGGGGCCTAATGGGACATGTTTGGGTCATGGGGGCAGATCTCATGAACAGATGAATGCCCTCCTTAAGGCAGGGTGCAAGTTCTCACTCTATTAGTTCCTGGGAGAGCTGGTTATTAAAAAGAGAATGGCACCTCCCCCATCACTTGCTTTCTTTCTCGCCAAGTGATCTCTGCATATGCTGGCTCCCTGTCACCTTCTGCCAGGAGTGAAGCAGCCTGAAGCCCTAACCAGATGCGGATGCTAGTATCACACTTCTTGTACCAGTCTGCAGAACAATGAGTCAAATAAACCTCGTTTCTTTATAAACTACCCAGCCTCAGGTATTTCTTTACAGCAACACTAAACAGACTAAGACACTGTTTCCCAAAGAAAAAAGTCCAGGGATAAGCTCACATTACACACAAAAGGCAACAACTCACATTATACACAAAACAAAACGTCCTGTGTTGTCTTCTTTTTACCACAACGTCCACTTTCACACTGTTGTGTTTTATTTCATGCTTTTTTGATTGTCATTGATCAGAAGGACAATGCTATTCTTTGTTGGATGCCCGGTCTATGCTTCGAAAAGTAAAAAGCTCACTGAAATAGAAGCTACAACGGTTGAGAATGAGGTCACAAATATCCATGAGACAAAGTGAAAAATGGCTCTGAAGCTTAACAAGCCAAGAAATACTAGATGCAGGTGATGCAGAAAAATCAGAGGGACACTGTAAGGATAAGAAAGCTTCATACCCAAAATAGCAGAAAGATCAAATTGAAGAAATTACATTTTTCAAGAAATGAAGTTTTCCTGCTTCTAAAGAACAATTAGTATACGATTTTTTAGATAGTCATTAGAATTAGCACAGTAGAGTTCTCTATCAGACATTAGAGTTCTCTATCAGACATTCTGTTACAACTAGATACAAATCTTTTATGATCAAAAAATCAATCTTTATATGGACATAGATGTAAAGTATATTTTTGGAAATTTAAAAGTGCTTAAATCAACTAAACATCTCATATTTTTTTCTAAATTTCTTTTCTCTCCTCTTAAAAAAAAATACAAGGGAAACAAAAAAAAGGGGATCACAAATTATAAAACCCACTACCACTCCTGAGATAAAAGCTTTCCAAAAGATTTCAAAAAATGAAAATAAAAAAATTAGCAGAGACAATTATTTTGCAATATTATGCATGCACTCAATTTCAGCTCTGATAGCTACATACAAACTTATAATTTTACAAGCTTCAGGAATTCCAACTTGAAAATATGCCCTGCACTAAAGATTAATAGTAGTACCCAGACTGAGGCAATGCCCCTATTAAATGCTCCCATAGCATTTTACACTTTTATAACATTTTACTCTTTTATAACATTCATCATACTCATTACTTAACGTTTGCAGTCTAAGATATACAGAGTTTTGCATTTTTATGTACCATACACCATTATAATCCAATGTCTAAACAATTGATACCCATAAATGTTTGTTGACTGAATAAACAAACTTTTTACTAAATTGTCTCTCAAAATTCTCAGTCATGATACCAGTGCTATATTATAAAATATTTCTAAAATAAGGGTCAATTGCTTTATAGCAGTTGACTATATAGCAGTAAAAGAGGGGAAGAGAGCTGGCCGAATGGAATCTATTCAGAATAATTTGAGTAGTTATTCTTTTGGTTTTACAAACCCTCCCCACTTGCCATTACCCTCCATTCCATGCCCAGTGCCCCTAGGGGAGCATGGACAACTATTAGAAAAATTACAAAACACTGCAATATAGAGCAATTATTACTCATATTACTAGGCAATATTCCTCAGGTATATTGGATTACAAATGAAGGTTTAAAACAATTTTTCTGCTACTTTAAAAAAAATCTTTTCAAATTGTGAGAAAAATTCAAACTCAATCAGATATTACCATGTAATAACAAAGAGACTGAATATACATATTAGATATGCCTTAAAACTATCTAGTCAGAAAAGGAAAAGATCAACAAAGAATAATTTACTTACATCAATGGAAAAGCAAAAAATGGGAGTGTCATGGCAAGTCTTGCTGTAAATTCATCAGGAAGATACCATAAATATACAATTAAGCATGTAAACAGATAGAGAACTGAGGAATACAGAATTAATCTTCCAACCCATAATTTTTGTAATCTCTGATTTTTTTCCCTGAATTCTTCCAATGCTTGAATTTCCTGTTAAGAGAAAATTACTCCATGTTAATAAATTTCAAACTTCATTACAAAATTAAAATGTTAAAAAATTTTAACACGACAGAAAGATTATATTTAAAAACTCCTAAAGTTCAATGAAGTATAATACCCTAACAGTTTAAAACAAAACATAATATGAAAAAGAAAACTATAAATGAAGTTAAAAATTTATAACATTTATTCTGAAAAATCATTTTTATAATGCAAAATTAATTACTATTTTTAACCAATCAAATTGTCAAAGATTCAGGGAATGAAACTGGTATCAGTAAATAATTTTTGTTGAGTTAAGTAGGTAATAATTCTTCCTATAAAAAAGATTTTAAAAATCTAGCAATAAGAAAAAGAATAAAAATTAAAACAGTAACTCATCTATTTATCACTCTCAATATTCCCAGAAAATAATCATTTTTGATAATAGTATACAAAAAACTATGAAAATTTTGTAGACTGATAAAAACTGTTGTAAACTATCTCATCTATTTTGTCCTACTTGTAACATTGATTTACAGCACATTACAGCTCGAATTTCATTCAAACTGGCTCTGTTACTTGATACAGACTTCTTAAGTCACTGATAGACTGGATTTTTTTGAGATCACATAACATTAAAGTTCTCAGACTCACTCTACATCATTTCTAAATTCCCATACCAGGTTTAGTCTCCAAAATATATACAATAATATTTACTTAGTACCTAAAATGAATTAAAATACCTCACAGCCAAAGAGCATACCTTATCTATACTTTCTAGAACTTCTACAGTTGAAGGCTTTGCCTGTTATGGAAACAGAAATAAGAGACAGCATTAAAACTTATTATCACAAACCTTTATATTTTGATATAATCATTAAAAAGCATTTATTTCAAAATTAAATTTTCTCAAAAGTTGTCATACAAGTATATATTCTTGTTTATTTCTAACTAAAATTTATTTAAATAAAAATAATTACAAACAGACTATATAAAATTAAAGAAATAAGAATATCCCTACTTAACTTTTTAATCCTAGAAAGATTTTTAATTCTGATAGCTCAATAGGTTACCATTCTTAACCTCAATAGAACACACTGGTATAGAAAGAAACAAATTTTAGCCAGGCACGGTGGCTCGCACCTGTAATCTCCATACTTTTGGAGGCCAAGGTGGGTGAATCACTTGGGGTTAGGAGTTCAAGATCAGCCTGGCCAACATGGTGAAACTCCACCTCTACTAAAAATTAGCCAGGCATGGTGGCATGCACTTGTAATCCCAACTACCTGGGAGGCTGAGGCACAAGAATTGCTTGAACCCAGGAGGCAGAGGTTGCAGTGAGCCAAGATTGTGCCACTGTACTCCAGCACTCCAGCCTGGCTGACAAAGCAAGACTCCATCTAAAAAAAAAAAAAAAAGAAAAAGAAAAGAAAAACAAATTTTCCTCCAAAAAAATTCCTTAAGAATGATTACTCAAAAGAATTAACATATTAAAAAAATTACAGACTAAAGATGGTCTGATCTGCTAATGCTAAAAGTTCACTTAGGACTCTGGAGGTCAAAATCAACAGGCTATCTTTTTTCTAAATTCCTAAAGTGGTTTTTGAAGATCAGATTTTAAAAGGACATCTAAGAATACTTCATTATAGTAAAGCTTGCTTGCCAAAGATGTTTTTTATACATCAAGAATAAAAACCAGCCAAAATCATTCATAAAACACTTGAAAAAATATTTAGCAATTACATACTCAACAATCCAAGAAGGTAATGAATATCAGTTCATTGTAGTTCCCATAAGAGTTGTTAACATTAGAGTTAACCATATGAAATTGACATTTTGCTAAGTCGAAGCAGCTGAATACTGGCAATTTCATATGGTTCAACCCAATATGAAAGACAAAGGAAGAGAGATAAATTTGATCTTTGGACAGATTATTATAAGGTCATAACAGGGTCAATATAATGCTAATCCAAAACAAGCCTGTTCCAGCAATAGCTCAAAAACTAAATTATGTACCAAGTATAGTTAGACTCCATTATTATAGTAATAAGGAGTAAAAAAATAAGTAGTTTAACCTAGGCTACTTTACCTCCTCTGACATTTGAAAAGAGCATTTATATAATTTATACAATTCATATTTTCTAGCTGTAACTTTGAGGTACTTCCTCTAAAATCTTATGCAATAAAACCAAACTGCATGTCTAATTTTGTTTAACCTGTAATTTCTACAAGCATACATAGTGTGACTTCAGTCAATATTTATGACAAGCTTCAAGTAAAAAGATAGAGCCTGTAAAAAACAAGTATGGTATAAAATACTTCTTTTCTTTTTTTTTTTTTTTTGAGACAGAGTCTTGCTCTGTCACCCAGGCTGGAGTGCAGTGGCAGGATCTTGGGTCACTCACTGCAACCTCCGCCTCCTGAGTTCAAGCCATTCTCCTACCTAAGCCTCCCGAGTAGCTGCAATTATGGGTGTGCACCACCACACTCAGCTATTTTTGTATTTTTAGTAGAGACAGGGTTTCACCATGTTGGCCAGGCTGGTCTCAAACTCCTGACCTCGTGACTCACCCACCTCGGCATCCCAAAGTGCTGGGATTACAGGCTTTAGCCACAGCACCTAGCCTAGAATACTTATTTTCAACTACCTTTCAAAGGGAGGTAGGCACTTAGGAAGTCTAAGAAGAAAACAAGAAATGATAGCCATTTGCACACAAATACATAAATACAGAAATAAAAATAATTCATATATCAAAGTGAAATAATTATGTTAAACAGAGGCATTGGACACCTATAGAACAAGTGGAAGTATTAAAATTAAAAAATAGAAAAGTAATTCAGAAGAGAAGAAAAAAGAGTTAAGGAAAATAGCAAACTACTATTCAAGACTATAATTAAAGAGACAAATAGCTTTATGTGACATTTTTGTATTAGACTCAAGAACTAGCTGTCAAGAAAAGTACCTTACCCTCCATCGAGAAAATAATCCACCCATCTTTTATTTGTAGAAACTGGGCACAATGATAAATATCATCAATTGTCCAAAGGAATTCACAGCTAGAAATAAAGCAAGTATTTAAAATGTTAAGTTAAATACACAGCATATCCACTACAGACATTGCAATACTGCCTAAAAAAGTTATGAAATATTAATTTCTTTGGACTCCACACATACGGAATTTCAATTCACATAGTCATTGGGATAGAATCTACCATTTTTCTTTTTCTTTTTTCTTTTTTTTTTTTTGAGACAGAGTCTTTCTTTATTGCCCAGGCTGGAATGCAGTGGCGAGATTCCAACTCACTACAAATTTAAGCGATTCTTGTGCCTCAGCCTCCTGAGTAGCTGGGACTACAGGTGCATGCCACTATACCTGGCTAATTTTTGTATTCTTGGTAGAGACAGAGTTTCACTATGTTGGCCAGGCTGGTCTTGAACTCCTGGCATCAAGTGATCCGCCAGCCTCGGCCTCCCAAAGTGCTGAAATTACAGGTGTGAGCCATCACACACTGCCAAGTCCACCTTTTAAAAGTTCATTCTTCAAAACCAGGACAGATTTAAAAGTGAAAATAAAGCTTTTCAAGCTTTTTAAATGACAATGCAGTTTAGAAATGTACATTCTTACCATTTAGCTATTTTCTAAAATATATAAAACTACTTCTTTTCCACCCAAAAAGGGTTACCTGTGTCATACTTCTCATCCTTTTCAACCATAAGTGTAATCAGAAAATACCAGCATCAATTAAGAATCCTCACTCTGCAACATTATTTATATATTGTAATTAGCATAAGGCATAGCTATCTTGAAGTTTCTGAGAAAAGTAGCAAATTGCTTAACTATAAAATACTTTTACTTACAAAGTAATTTTAAAGGACAGAAGCACCTATAATCTGTCTTGAGAAACTCTAATGTTTATATGAATGTTTCAAGTCATATTTAAGTTGCAATCTAAATATTATTAATCATTTAGTATTAGCTTAGTACTAAAATTTCTAAAATGTGATTGTAGAAAATCCAGGAACTTGAATGAATTAAACTATAAATTTCTATCTGAATTACCACAGTAAATAAATAAATCTAAAAACCTTCTTGAGATGCTAAAAATAATTACCAAAAAGGTGGGTGGAAGGAGTAGATTCATATGAATCACTTGTTCTCAAAATATACATCATTCCACTATTTTAGAACTAGTTTATAGTGTCTAGCAGTGTTCTGTACACAACCAACCCACATATTTTGGTTTACAGTAGAATTATATCCTTCCATGTCAAGTTTGTAACCATCACACCCTGAGACTGTGATCAGAATTTTTAATATTTGAAATTAATGACAAGAACAATATCAGGTAAACACTTAATAAATACTTCATTTCTAGCAGGTCCTAAAACAAATGAGGTATGTGCGTGTGTGCACACGTGTTTTGAGACAGGGTCTTACTCTGTCACCAAGACTGCAGTGCAGTGGCATGATCTTGGCTCACTATAACCTCTGTCTCCAGGGTTAAAGTGATTCTCCCACCTCAGCCTCCAAAGGTGTAGCTGGGACTATAAGCACACGCCAGCACACCCGGCTGATTTTTTTTTTTTTTTTGGTAGAGATGGGAGTTTCACCATGTTGGCCAGGTTGGTCTGGAACTCCTGGCCTCAAGTAATTTGCCCACCTCAGCCTTCCAAAGTGCTGGGATTACAGGCGTGAGCCACCATGCCCGGCCCAAATGCTTTATATTAATTTTAGCATTTAGATACTACTATACCTCCATTTTACAAATGAGATACCTAAGGCAAGAGAAGTAGTGTGCTAACTAACATCCCAAAGACAGTAAGCAGCAGAACCAAACATATTTTAGTTTTTTTAAGTACCTACTTATTACCAATAACACAAAATCAGAAATAAAGTCTGCTTTACTTCTCACTCTGTCTGTTGCCAAGGCTGAAGTGCAGTGGTGCGATCTCAGCTCACTGCAACCTTCACTGTTCTAGCAATTTTTCTATCAAATTCTGATATTAAATACACATGTAATAGGTGGTACTTTCTAACAGATGTGAAAACATAACAAAATTAAATAACTAAATCAAATATTTCTCCATAGCTTTAATTTCATACCTCTTCTGTATTCAACCACTGGTTCTCTCCTTTCCACCCAAACATCTTAACTCCAAGTCCTGTGGCCCATCACTTACTGTGAAATTTTGGACAAATCAGTTATTTAACCTACCTGCTACTCAATTTCCTCACCTGTAAAAGAGGGATAGATAGTTAAGGACCCTCTTAAATGTTGAAAGGCTTGAATGAACAATGTATTCTAAACTATTTACAACAGTGCCTGACACATAGTGATTGCTCAATATAAATTGTTTTAATCGCTGTGGTTGTTGCCATTTTCTAATCCATCTCTCATTTCTTTCATATACATGGAAAATACATGTGAACCAAATAACCCTTGCATTTCCTTCTGAGGCATAAATCAATTTGCTTGCCCTGGATTGAACAGATGGTTCAACCTCAAGTAACTTGTCTCCAAGAACTCTCCCATTAACATGTACAGAGTGTCACTTTCCACTCTGATACCACAACAGGACCTGTCATGACTTTAAGAGCTGGGTGCATCTAAGTGTGTTTTTCTTTGAGACAGTCTCACTCTGTTGCCCAGACTGGAGTGCAGTGGCACAATCTCAGCTCACTGCAACCTCTGCCTCTTGGTTTCAAGTGATTCTCTTGCCTCAGCCTTCCATATAGCAGGGATTACAGGTGTGTGCCACCACTCCCAGCTAATTTTTGTGTATTTAGTAAAGACAGAGTTTCACCATGTTGCCCAGGCTGGTCTTGAACTCCTGACCTCAAGTGATCTGCCTGCCTCAGCCTCCCAAAGTGCTGGAATTACAGGCGTGAGCCACCACACCTGGCCTATGTTTTTCAATGAACAATAATGTCTACCACATTATTTGAATGTTTTCTACTAATGGCTATTCACACTCAGGTTTGGGTGTGAGAATTTTAAATCTTGAAAAATGTTTTTCTTAAATTTTCACCTCACTCCAAGCCACATTAAAATAATGAAATAAAACAGATCTGGATTCAAAATATGGTTCAACCACAGACTATGCAATCTTGAACAGATCACCTAAACTCTCCAAGCCTCAGTTACTGCATTTGCAAAATGGTAAAAATATCTACACTTCATAGAATTGTTGTATAAATTAAATAAAATTATGTGTGATTTGGCACAGTGTCCAACACATAGTAAGTACTTAATAAATTGTAGCCTTTATTCTTATTATCAGAAAACAGATGTCGTATTTATATGAAACACATTTCTAACTTCTTATAAAGAAAGCACCTATTTCCTAATTCTAAAATTGAAAATTATATTACAGTTTATGTTTTTACTAAAATCAATTGCTCTCATTTTCTCTAGTATAAGAAATAAAGCAAAATATTTTGCAGACTCTGCCATTAAATAACCTTGTAGGCCTTTGAAGAAAACAGCAAAGAAAGTTCTATGTTTATCAAGTTCTAAAGTATAAGCTATTTAATCACCATCAACAGTACCTCCATAACATATTGTACTGTACAATTGAAGAATAAAGGTGATTTGTTCTAGAGCTCTAACTTTCAAATGTCTTAACTGAAAAGACAATTCTGATATAGCCCAAGCCACATTTATTGCTCCTCAAAAAAAAAAAATGAGTGCTTAATCTATTATATATTAAGCACTCTTAATATACAATGATTAAGTGCTTGCTTTCATGCTAAGCCAATTTTCATCTGAACTAAATACCACCAAAAAAATTACTGTTTATAAAGATTTCTATATGAAGTCATACCTTTTTAATAGCCATATAACTTCTCCCTTTTCTTGTATTATCTTCCAAGTTAATAATATATAAACACTATATAAGTTTATTAACAGCGTTACTGAGCTGATCTCAGTAGATGACAGAAACTTTCTAATTTTAAACGCACCGCTCCTGTTTAAGAAAATGTGTTAAAAGTCAACTTGGTCTTCTGGGGGCCGCTGAGGAAAAGAGATAGCATTCCCTGCCAGGTTGAACATATTCCTGAAAGCAAGCTTACCCACACCCACCAAGCCGCTGTTGAAGAGTCAATTTTGTCAGTGCTGACACCCAGGCCACAAAGAAAGGAGAAAACAGTAGACATTAAGCAACAAACAACGGAGGCCAGCGGGGAAAAGCGGAACACGGAAAACTCAGCGACTCACGAGTCTTGCTTAGTACTGTGACAGCACCATCAGCAAAGCTGAGTTCACCAATTACAACTCTTTCACAATCCGTAAACTACGTACTGATGGAATTTAGATTTGTTTTTCCCCTCCTGCCACGCCTCTGACACTATGCATCTTCGCCCTTCCCCTCCACCCCACAGCCCACCATCCCTGGAATAAGGACAATGGTTGGAGCGCCTCTTCTCTAAGTGGCACGTACTCCACGCCCACACGCCAGAGCCCAGCAGCATGACACTGACAGTTTCCAGTCCCTTCTGATCTTTCCAACTCTTGGAGCCTCCGTACAACTCAGAAAAACAAGAGGCGGACAGAATGCTCAAAGCGGCCGGCTGGGCGTAGGAAATGCTAGTTTGGGACCTTCTGACCCTTCGCCTCGACACAGGTGGGCCAAAGTGCTGGGGCTCAAGACAGTCACCACCTGGAATCTCCCAGAACGAAGCTGGAGAAACTACCAGCCCTGGAGGGGAGAAAAGGGTCTCGAGACTCCAGCACCACCCCCGTCAGTGTGCTGAGAAACCCAGGGTACAAGGCGGCGAGCCTGGGTCTGCGCGCACCACCGCGCAGCCCGACTAGCCGCCGCCGCAGAGCTCTAGGCCCCGAGGCAGGAGGCGGGGGTACCGCGGAGAGGCAAGCGGGGAACCCGCAGCTTATCTCCCAGGGGCACAGCTCAGCATGCCTCTCCCCTGCAGAGCCCTCCCAACCGCCCTCGTCTTGAGCGTTCTACCTGCGAGGAGCGGGCGCAGCCCGGCCTAGGCGTCCACCCCCGCCAGTCTCGGCCGCCACCGCGCAGCCTGCCTCCGGAGCAGGCAGCAGCAGCCACTGACAGAGAGACCGGCCCGGCCAACTCCTTCCCATCAAACCCCGCGCTCCCGCCGCTCGCCAATTGGCGCCGCGGCCGACGCGCGCCGCTCCCGCGACACGTGACCCTACCCCGGGCGGGCAGTTGTCGGGGCGGGTGGGCCGGGAGCTCAGCCTGCAGGTGTCTGTGCCTGTGGCCTCCGTAGCCAGCCTAGGCTGCTCTTTGTCGCGTTGCAGGCATCTGCTGCCACTTATTATGACGCTTAGAATATAGTTACTTCTTACTCTTCCGCTGCCTCCTTTGCTTTTAAAGCCTGTTCTGCCAGGTCTCGCGGGAGAAGGAAACCCCTGAAACTGGTCCTGGTGGTCCCAGACCGCCGCGCGAGCGAAGAATGGGGAGGTAAGGAGGATGGAGATGGGTGCGTCTGGAACGAAGTCCGTCCGGAAGAGTCCCGGATCAGCTGTCAGCCCGCCGGCAGCAGAGCAAGTTAAGACTACACAGCTCAGGAGAAGCCAGTTCCCATTCAAGCCAGTGGAGAAAAGTCAGCCTGGCCCCCAGGAGTGCTTGACGCTCTGTCATTCATGGACGTCAAAAAGGGTCATTTGATGACTTGGACGCTTACCTCACCGGCGTGAGGTAAGCTTCAAACGCCACATCATGTTACTTTAAAGCCTGCGGATAACAACATAAGCTGAGTTTTCTATCTTAGAACTCTCAACCTCAAGAACACTCTCCACAGGCCCTGATAGGTGGACCCACAAAAAACCACCCAGGCTATATTTGACTCAGATTTGAAACGCTGCCTAAATGGTATTAAGTTTCCGCCTCAGCTGGAAAAGACAAATAACAAATGATAACTGAATGAGAAAAAGACTAGACGTGCATACAGTATTGTGTAAGCAGGGAAACTTCAGCAAAGGTTTTTATCATGGTTTACCCCTTTCGTGCTTTACTCCATGTGCGGACATTTTTTATGTTTTTTTTTTTTTTCTATTTTAGTTACACAGAAAAGTTTCACTGATTTTTAAAGAGTATAGTAGTTTTAATATGTTACGTTTAAACTTCGACGATGCGAAGAGGTTATCAGGAAGCTAAGCATTGTCTGGTTCGTAAGAATAATTTATTATACTAGAAGCTACCACATAATTCACTGTGGCAGTTGCTTGCCCTAATTGCCTAAAATATTTAGTTACAGTTCTGTACACTTGAAAGGCTGAAACGAAGGGAACTAAAGTTTAGTGTGTTGCTGTGGATCACTTTCCAAATGTAGAAGAAAATGGACAGAAACATTTCACCTGTTTTGATATGGAAATTTAGCCATTTTGTTTTTCAGCCTTTGCTGTTTCAAAGTATTAAAGTCCTGTGCAGTTTTGCAAATACATTTCACCTCAGAAAGATCTCCTTTCCTAAGAAGACTGGGAAGAATGGCTTTCCACTTGCCAATAATGTGTCCTCTGGTTTTAACTGAGCCATCAATGTCTGTATTCCAGCCTGGGCTACCCAAGCAAGACCCCACCTCTTACAAAAAGAGGAGAGTAGCAGGGGTGGGGGTGAGGGGACAGAGAAGAGCTGGCTGATGCACCAGAGTCCAGAAACCTACTCCTGAGATAAAATTCCCTAGGGAATTGCTCTACCAAGACTAAAGATTTGACCTGGCAAGAGGAGGGAGAGAAGTATTTAATCATTAACTCTTTTAATCCTCCCAACAACATTTTTAGTATAGTATCATTTTTCAGATGAGGAAACTGAAAAGTAGAAAGATTATGTACACTGTTGAAGGTAACAACAGTGTGCATAATCTTTCACTGCCTCCTTTATATCAAGAAGAATTCATCAAGCAAATAAAGTGAGGGAAAGACATTACAAGCAGAAGAATCAACATATACACTATTGTGACTGGACTACAGGCTACAGGGTGATTCCAAGTATTTATTCACAAGGCCGTGTGTTAAGTGCTGAGGATGCAGGGATAAATAAATAGCTGTCCTAAAGCAGCTGACACTAGTGAGAGAAACCTTTTAAAAAAATACAATGTAGGCTAAATAAGTTCTGTGATAGAGGTTAATGTTCATGGTATTGGAAAATGATTAAGACAGCAGCAGCTGGAGGGGATATGGAAAAGCCAGTGAAGGTGCTGCTTTAGCAGAGTCCAAATGTCAAGAGTTATCGCCTACTAATCCTGAAATTGTTCTGGAATAGGGTCTATGGAAGTGAAATCCAAAGAACAACAGAAAAGAACACCAGAGAATACTTTGAAAGAAAAAAAAATTGCTCTAGCTGATGGAGTTTTGAATGGTCTAGTTTAACAAATAGGTTGAATTTATCTAAGTGCTATGAGAACGTACATAAGTGGCATTCATTGATCTTGTCAGAGAGGTTAGGTAAGGCTTCTTTGAGGAAGTCACACTAGACTGGAGATCTGAACGATGAGAAAGTGAAAAAGGGAGAGAGGGAAACAGAGGGAATGTCATGTGTAAAGCCCTTTTGTCAGGAGGGAACTCCGCAAGCCTGGGGACTGAAAGGAGGCTGTTGTGGCTAGAGCTTAGGTTGCAGGGACAGAGTGCACCAGTTTGAAACTGGAGACCAGACTAAGCAGAGTCTGATTGGCCATATTAAGAACTGTAATCTTAAGAGAACAAGGGAGGGAGAGGGTATTTGACATGATCAGATCTATGTTTTGAAAAGATCATTCCAGCTGCAGTGTGGGAACACAAGCAGAGCCAGCACTGGACTAATTAAATCTATGACTGGTGGTTGGCATTAGTAGACATTCAGATGGATTGGGATAGGAACAAGGAGATGGACAGAAGCGGGGGAAATGGAACAATAGGAAGTAAAGTGGGAGGTCTTGGTGATGGATTCACATATCATGGAGTAGGATGGGGACTGAGGGAGAAGGAGGAGTCAGATAACTCAGAATTTCTAGCAGACCCAGTGGGTGGATAGTAATGCCATCATTCAGATATGGAGGACACTGGAAGAAAGCCAGGTTTGGGGGGAAAGGGTAATTTCAATTTGAACACGTTTAGTTTAAGATGTTTTTGTGACTTCAAGGGAAGATGTAAATAGTTGGATCTATGAGTCTGTAGCACTGGGCTGGAGAAAAAAAAATGTTACCATTTGCAATTTGTCATTTTCTGCAGGGTACTTCTTTTTTCAAAATATGGGTATCTTTATTGTAAGCAAGATGTTTTGTTTTTAAACTTATTGAGAAGCACTTGAACCCAGGAGGCAGAGGTTGCCGTGAGCCGAGATTGCACCATTGCACTCCAGCCTGGGCAACAAGAGCAAAACTCGGTCTGAAAATAAATAAATAAAAATAAATATATCGAGAAGAACAGAACTTTAAAAGTGAGTCTGTAGAGCAGTTTCCCAGACTTCTCTGAGAGTCACCAGGGTCCCTTGTCAAAAACTCAAATTCTCAGGCTCCTCCCCTGCAGATTCTGATTTCACTTGTCTGGTATGGGGTGGGGGGGGGCTAGAAATGTGGACTTTTAACAAATGCCACTGGAGAGTCTTATCACTGACTTTCTCTGGGAAGTGGTATGCCAATGCCAGAGGCTACCTGCATAAGAGTCACTGCAGTGCTTATTTAAATATAGATTCTCAGGTCCTGCAGACTAAATCTCTAGGGATAGAAGAGTTGTAAGGAATGGAAAAAGGAATATGGTACCATGTCAGGTGGTCCAAGACCTCACACTTCATCTTTGACAGAGGTGTCCTATGCTTTCCACTGGGCAGCGCAGAGGAAGGTGGGTGTCCTTTGCTGGGTGATGCATATTTCAGCAGCAGGCAGCCCTCACTGGCTGCAATTATAACAGCTCTTTGCCTAGGCCTCCTGCCCTGTCCACTGAAATGGCACTCAGCCCACTTAGATCATCTCTTTTTTCCACCAATCCTATCAAGGTTCGTTGTTTCCTCCTGGCCCCCAAATCTTTTTCAATGTTATTTCCAGCACCCTGTCTTTCTACTCCCGGTTCAGGTGTTTTTCAGCAAATCTCCGTGGCAAGAGCTGGGGAGAAATAGGGTCAAACGCTATGTTTCATTCTTGACATGGCTTTTTTTGTTCTTGAGAACCTACTTCGGAAGAATTTTTAAAGACTGAGCTGTGTAAGAAAGGAAAAACTTTTCCTCTGCTCTCTTATCTTTCCTCTTTGGGGGACTGCAAATTAAAACGACAAAGATAGCAAGAAAAAAAAAAGAATTTAATTACATATGTACACAGAGAGAGAGAGAGAAAGAGAAATTTGCAAATAACTGTGACCCTAAGTGGTTAGAATTTGGAGCTTATATACCATCTTACTAGGGGATGAAGAAGGGCAGAGAGGCCCTTCTAAGAGAATAAATGACTTCTTCAAAGGAAGTGAGGGAGAGACAAAGCACTTAGAGGAAACAAAAGACTTTTGGGAAAGAAAAATGGACCTTTAGGAGACTAGATGGAAGATACGACAGTTTTCTAACAATGTCTGGGTATGGTACAGATGTCTCCTCTCTCAGAAGAAAATATTAGAGTTGCTCCCCAGAAGAGGATTTATAACAATTGAGTTCTTTGGGGTGGCTTTGCTTTTAGGCACATAAGGGATTTCAGGAACTCAAGTGCCTTCAGCTCAAAATAATTTTTATGCCATTGTAGCTTATTCTAAAACCCTTCAGTTATTTGTTCTCCTTGTAGTCTTGCTGTAACAATTCCAAGTCTCTGTGAGACACTGTAGATGCTTTTGAATAGAGGAAGAATCAGAACATATGAAGAAAAAAATGATTAGAATGATTTGTTTGTGATGGCAAACATACAGAAAAGTTTATAAAACTAAAATTTCTACTTAACACAGTAACACAAACACTCATGTAACCCCATATGGGCCAAAGTAGAACATTCAACACTCCAAAAGGCCCAATGTGCTCCTTCCCTTATAACCTTCAAGTGCTTAGAGATGGCTACTATCATGATTATTATCATATTCACTTTTTTGTTTTTCTTTCTAGTTTTACACTCTAATTACTCATCTTTAAACAATATCATTTTTGAGCTCTACGTAAATGGAATCGCGGAGTAAGCTTTTTATTTACATGTCTTGAACTTTGTGATTAATCTATGTCTTTAAGATTTACCT